AGTGGCAGTAATGACAGAGCATGCGCTGTTACGCAAAAACCACGATAGAGTGAAGCCGCGGAAGTCGAAGCACGAAGTGGCGAGGGTTCACTGTATACATAGTCTGAATTATCTGACTACCACTTATGAAATAACTGGTATATCCAACAGGGTCAACATTGCTGAGAAAAATTATGAAAGGGAGACAATGAACCCAAGAAACTGACAGTGGCAAGCTCCAGCATCTGGGCAATTATGATGTAATCTAAGCAGGTATCATCAGGAGCATATGAAACGTCAAATAAATATCTGGTATTGCCTACAACAATAAGTCCTCGTTGGCTCCCCTGCAGAAAGAGGCTGGGAAGGGACGGGACCAGCACATAAAGCACTTACCATCTTCTGTTTCCTGCCACACAATGCCTTCGAGGTTGACGCTGGTTCCAGGCTCACAGGGGCCCAGGCATTCGGGTTCTGTAGCTAGAGCCACATCACATGTGTTGACCCCAACGGATCGGGTACGAACCATGATCTGCTCACAGGGGGATGAGATGTCATTACTGACTACTGGCACCAAGAGGTGCAGAGGCAGCACTGCTGGTGTGGAGACAGGGGACTCCATCTGTGGGAGAAGAGAGAGCAGTAGCTGAGTTGCAGGGGAAACGTCTAAAACAGCGGTTCTCAGCCTGTGGGTTGAGACCCCTTTGGGGGTTGAATGACCATTTCACAGGGGTTGCCCGATTCATAACAGTAGCAAAATTACAGTTATGAAGTAGCAACAAAAATAATTTTATGGTTAGGGGGTCAACACAACATGAGCAACTGTATTAAAGGGTCACGGCATTAGGAAGGTTGAGAACCCCTGGTCTAAAGGAAAATACCTTTTTTGTATTTAACCTAGTCCAACATTCTCTCCTGCCAGAGTGCATAGAGCTCTAAATAGAAGATTTCAGTCCTTCCTTTCAAGCCAGGATACCATTACAAACCTAGACACATGCGTGTGCCTTGTACTAGGAGCGGCTCTGGTTTTTATTAACGATTTTCCGCATAAACTGTGCTTGGCCTCAAGAGTACAAGTAGGAGCTCTAATTTTTCTCCTCTCATTTGAACATTCTGCGCGAAAGGGAATCAGGCCAGATTTCAACAGTAACAAAACACACCGACAGAGGAAAAAGACATAGCATGCTCTACTGGCATCACTCTTCTTCCCACCAATCTGACTTTCAACAAACAGTACAGCTGATGCATCGCATGCTGTCGAGTTGACCCTGGCTCACGCGAACCCATGTGTGCAGAATAGAACTGCTCTATTAGGTTTTCTAGTCTACGCTCTTTCAGAAAGTCAGGTCTGTCTTCCAAAGTGCCACTGAGTTCCGGCTCTCAACCTCTCTGCTAGTAATGACGCCCTTAACTACGTCCATCAGGCACCTCTCAAGCAGGTCTAAAATGCATTTTAGACCTGGGTGGGGATTTATGAAGGGGGAAAATGTCCAGAAGAGTGGGAGCTCTATCTAACACATCTTTAGCCAGAAGGAAACCCACTTGAAGGTTATAGAAAGGCTAAAAGCAATTGGATGGAGGCTTCCAATACTCCCAGAGATTCTAAGAGTACTTGGTTAATGAAAATGGCCTTTTGAAGTATAAATTTAATACAAGATTTCTGGAGGAAACAGGAGATACCTATACTATCCAGAAACAAATCCACAGGAGGCTGCAGATGTAGAGTATGCAGCACATGCATAAATATGAACAGTCAAACACAAGTATTCACAACGTACCTCACAAACCAGGACCTCTGACAAGGCTGGAATTACTTAGGCTCCAAGAAGACTGCAGCACACTGAGGGGTAGCAAAAGAAGCATAAGGAGGGAACCCCTTACTCTTGGAAACCTGGTGTTTATCAAGTTGACAAAGAACTCACTCTGAGTCTGTAAGACCCAAATCCTGAATAGTGTCTTGCACACCTAAAGATCCTCAGTGCACATGTTGGCTATTTTCCTTCAAGACTAAGTATTATACCATCGAGCTGGTTTTTGTGGTTAGCTCTCACCGTGACTCCTTTACCAATTTACAGACCTAGAAAACGACAGTCAAGGATCAGAAAGGTCTCTTGTGAAAAGACCTTGCAGTTAGGGTAAAATGGCATCCTTAAACAGATCCACACATCCAGGAAGTCACACACACATCTGAGCTGCTGGCCAGCTCTAAAACAGCACTCTGTTTCAGGGAGTCAACCACATGCCCCTCTATGACCCCTCCACCCACAAACTTCACACACAAACTCCTCTAGACACTAAGGTCTGGGTACTGCATTCATATTCTGTAGTCAGCTGTGGCTTCTTGGCTTAGAAAGTCATTGCTGTTTGGAAATCATCCGAGCCCATAGAATGCTCAAACTCTGATCCAGACTAATTTTGGTCCCTGAAGAGCTGCCAAAACATTATCTTTATCTGCTTGCTGTCACACAGCCCCACCTCACCTTGTACCTCCAAACTCTTGTCTTTTTCATAAAATGAAATGTCAGTGAAGGCATCATGAAAAATGCCAAAAGGCATTTTCACTCTCTCTCGTTCTTTGGAAACAGAATATTTATCATTTAATTTAGCAACCTTCTTGGGATGTGGAAGATCCTTAAAAGACCCTTTTACATTTCCATGCATGGATTTGAAGGCAAAACCAGGAAATGTTAGAAAGAGGTGGCTAACAACACAGGAAGATTAATCTGGCATTTCCCTGCTGCTTGGTGTGGTGTCGAGACCTGGTTCTAATCACAAGGCCTTTGCAGTTGCTGGAGAATTTTAACACTGAGGGTTACTAGAAAAGTGAAATTAGAGGCAGAGGATATACAGCACATATTGACTCTTGGCCTCACACTTCATTTTCTCCAGAGGCAGAACTGAAACGGGCCTGGTTTCATATAGACTCTCAGGATTCACATTTTCTTTGCTTGGGGTTTGTTCCTTTTTCTGTTCTTTATTTCGACTATTCAGAGAAATTCCTGCAAGGTCCTCCTTGGACAAAAATCTCGGCCTAAATCTTCTAGATCAGTCCTGCTGAGCTTCCCAATTGCCTTATTTAAGTGTGTCCTGGTGCCAAACTGTCCCACCTCAGAGGCAGAAACCCAAGGCATTGGAGAAGGGAATTCCCCTGGGAAACAGACGGGGAGACAGTCTTCTCTGACTCACCAAGGACAGCAGCTCTTTTCTGGGCGTGGTTTCATTCCCTACTAGGTTCTTTAGTGCTGTGGGACGCCTAGGGAAGCTGGTACGACATTGTAGACAAAGCTCAGTCCCTAATTCTGGTAGACAAAACTAGAAGACACTGGATGAACGTCTAAGATGAACGCTGGAAACACTACTGGTGCAAACAATTTGTGAAATTAAACCTAGCTGAACACCCAAAAGGAAGAATTTTACTTAACTAAACAGATCACAGAGAATAACAATCAACTATTACACATGAGGGGGGCTTTATTACTCTGGATATGCACCAAACTGTCTCTACTGATCAGAATTACTAAGTACAGAGTTCAGGATCTTGGTTTGTGTGACGATGACTTTGTATATTTACTTAATTAAAGAAGATCGGGGGAGGGGGGAGGTTGTGACACACTGGAGGAATGTACGGATTGTGATAAGATGTTAAGGGCCCCCAATAAAAGTTTTTTTTAAGTAAATGTCTAGAAAATAATGATGGCAACATATGTACAAATATGCTTGATAAAACTGACGTATGGATTGCTATAAGAACTTAAGAGCCCCCAATAAAACGATCTTTTATTTTTTTAAAATGGAATAGCAGATTTGACAAATGTACTACGTGTAAAGGAGAGGACTTTGAAGGTGATACAATTGTTCTGTAAAAAATTTAAATACATAGCTTTGAAAAAAAATCGTATTTTTTAGGCACCCCATCATATGTTCATATACTAACAATGAACAATCCAAAAAAAAATTCAGGAAAGACAAAAAAAAAAAAAAGAAATCTATCTACATATTTGGAACGACAGGTTCTCTCCACTACCTGAAAGTAAAAAGACTTTCCTATAAAAGCTTTCTATAAATCCCTTCATAAGCTAAATGGCAACCACCAAAGTGAAGACGCACTTACTATTCATTTATATGGGAAACATTTTTAAGTGTTTCCATAACGAAAAAATAACCTACCAACACACACCCAAAATCTAAAACAAAACTACCATACAGTAAAGTAGGAATATGGTCTAAAGTGGAAATTATGTACGCTCAGCCTAATTTCTGGGAGTGAGCAGGGCAGCACCACTCCTACTTCTTGGCGCTCACACTGCTTCTTAGGCTTGTTGCAAAATTAACACTGAATATGGTTCTACTTTTCACCCTTTTTCATAAAAGCAAAAATCCTCTTTGGATCTCTTTCAGTTAGCCAAACAGATTAGGTACTAGTTAGGTCTTCGATAAAAGCAAAATGGCATAAAGCAATCTTCCTAAAAACAAGGGAGACCTGTATTCATCTTCCTTCCACTGTACAACCGAAATCTAAAGCGAAATCACAGAGCAGCACAATAGTGTTTAATTACACCTCCAGAGCTGCTAATTACTGCTTGGTCACATCTATAATCTACATTAAGCCATAGTGCATAATAAGCAGCTCTGTGATATTCATCTAATAACCTAGGCAGCTTTATGGGATTTCATCTTCTATTATTCGTTAGAATTAGCAAAAGCTTCATTTATCACTCTCTATGAGAGGATAAAAATCAGAAAAGGATTCATTTTGCAATCTTTCCCATGTACCTAGGATATAAGAATAGGGAGTATCAGAAGATTAGTAACAACAGGAAAATAAGGAACAGGAATATAAAAATAAAAACAAAAAACCCTAAGATCATTAAATGCCTTAACCACAATAAGAAGCCTGGTCAATACTCAGTCTCTGAAATGCTAACAAGTACCCTCACTGCTCCTGGGACCAGCTGAATGGACAAATAATCAAACAGAACAAAACCCCCAATGTGATTTAGAGAGAATTTTAAAATGCAAATCTCTGAAATTTCCCAACAGTTCATGTCCTTTATCTTTAGTGAAAATTCTTTTCAATTCACCTTTAGATATTAGTCCAATAGCACCTATTAGGGAATCTAGTGTCCATAGGCAGGTAACAAAAATGGGAACTGGAGAGAAGAACAAAGAAAGGCCAGAGTCATTAATCTCCCCACAAAAAGGTATTATACACTGACCTCAGCTACCTCCTACACAAGAGTGAAATCTTTGAGGCTGTAACATAATTTTAAGATATAAAATGCACTGAAGAAATTCTTGGGACCCTCCCCGAACCCTGTCTTTTCTCAAAAATATGAGTCTGATATATTTACCCTCATGCTCAAGGGGCAGAGAGGAGGTTGGTTCTACTGATAATAACAGTAGCTACTAGAAATTCCTTTTCATCTAAAATGAAAGATAGATAAAGTGTTCAGATTTCTCAGAGAATGATCTAATGCCAAGAATCTTAAGGAAATTTTACAAGGGAAAATTTCTTCAAATATTCTACAGTGTGTATTAACAAGGTATTATCTTTCTTTAATAATTCCAAAGGACCTTCAAGATTTTATAATAACTCAGTATCAGCAATTCTAATGGTAATAT